CTTTCTCATACTTAAGGAGAAGTGTTTTAAGAACTTTATTGAAGTATAATTTACATTACATAAAATTCACCCATTTTAATTATACGAGTCAATGATTTTTAGTAAATTTGCTGAGTGTGCAACCAATGTCATAATCTAGTTTTAGAACATTTTTATCACCCTAAAGGGAGGCCCTTTTTTTGGTTAAATTTTGTTTATCTGACTTGCCTGTTTGGTTTTTGATGGTCCGTCACCTGGTCTGTCAATTCCTTTGTATTTTTCTAATTTCTCTTCTGTAATGATTATAGCAAGAAAACGATTCAGCTTACACATGAACAACAGCTGATTCTGAGCCATAAGATGGAACCTCTCCAGGTGGTAAAAATTATGGCATTTGCAGGTAAGGGGGCTCGCCAATACTGGACTAGAGAGTCAGGTTCATACCTCTTACGGCTACATCCCCCTTCCCCACTCCCTGCCAGAGTATCTTTGCCTTGATCTGTTAACGAACTACTGCAATGAAATAACCTAAAAAGCAGTTACCGAGTAATACCTGCTTTTTCTTACCACTCCAGGGAGCATCCACACTGGAGTTCCTGGTGAGACAAATAGTTCATAGGAATTAGTTTGTGGAGTAGATTCCACTAGGATTGATCCCACCTGTCATTTATCATCATATACGCTCAGTCACTGGTTGCTTATGGACTGGCAGGCCATGTTAATCTCTTGCAAGGAGAGTTTCAGTAGCTCCTGATTTCTGTTGGGTGAAGACTAGAAGGCCCTTCTGCCATTTGGTTGTAACCTCCATTCCTGAATACATAGTCTGCTATTCTCCTGCCTTGGTCAGCTATTGTCCTTACAGTCTCCTAAAGGACTTGGTTATTCTTTTGTCTGAACCTTTGCTCATATAGTTTTCTCGACCTAGAATTCCTTCCCACTTCTTTTCTGCCTAAATATCCTGCCGAAAACACCAACCATTTCTTAAATGCCTGCCATGGGCCTGGTGCTGTGCTAACCCTAACAACGTTCTGTAAGATTGGTTAGTTATCTCTGTTTGATAGGTAAAGATTTGGAGCTCAGAGAAATTGAAATGACTTGCCCCACATTAAATAAGCAAATAAGTGATGGAGGTAGAATTCAAAGCTGGATCTGTTTCTCTTCCCAAACGCCCCTTCTTTCTCAATTTCCTCCCGCTCCCTCTCTTTTCTTTGTCCTGCTATGTGGACTGCCATCATTTCTGTTTCTTCTTGATGGAGGCTTCTTTAGTGATTTGAGTCCTATATGATCTCTGAACTCATACCTGTAACTAATCATCCATATTAACTGTTTGGTACCTGATTATACAGTAAGAATAGCCAACATACACATTTTATCACTGCTTCCACACTGGGTCATTAATTTTCAAAACAGCCCTGTCAGGTGGGGAAAGATGTACTATTTTTCTTCTTTGGCAGGTGCAATTTTTTTGTTTCCAAACCCATAGTCTTTTTCACTCTACTGGGTTACCATTATACTCTCATTTTGTTTTAATTGTTTCAACTGTGTTGGTATTTTATTTCCAGCTAGATGTAATGCAGGAGCCTTGCTTTGTGTCTTTTAATATATTCCCAGTGCTTAGCTGAACATGTAGTAAGCGCTCAATAAATATTTATTAAATGAATGACAGTTGAATAATTGAGTGACTGACTGAATGGTGGCGAGGCAGGGCAGACAGGAGAGTTCAGAATGAATCCTGTTTGTATGCTCTTGCTATTGAAGCATTAATGACTCCCAGGCCAGCAGTAGCTATGTTTTATTGAGTTCTTTTGGGTACCTTGATGATTACTTTATCCAACCAGACTCTGCAAGGTCATTGTTACCCACTTGTGGCTGAGGAGAAGAACTGAAGTTTATTGAGGTCAAGTGGCTTGCCCTTCACTCCTCGGCTAGAAGCTGACAGAGCCACAGTCCCAACAGAGGTTAATCTGGCTTAGAATCTGCTGCTTTTTCCACTACACCATTATTAGTTTTTATCTTACTGAAAAAAGTTGTCACCATCTGTTCTCAAGCAAGAGGCAAGAAAAGTGTGGATAAGACCTGATTAGGGCATCCTTTGGAGCAGGTTTTCCTGGTCAGAGGGTCACCTCCTTTCCTCTTGGCTTCCCCAGGCACCGGGAAGACCTCTACCCTGGTCAAGTACGCTGAGAAGTGGTCTGGGAGCAGGTTTCTGTATGTGACATTCAACAAGAGCATCGCAAAGCAGGCTGAGCTAGTCTTCCCCAGCAATGTCATCTGCAAAACCTTTCATTCCATGGCCTATGGACACGTCGGGCGGAAGTGAGCATTGCGTTGCCACCTTCACTGTTATGTCTAATTACTGTTTTTTGTGTTGCAGTCATCATGACCACACATGAACTTACACCACAATGAAACTAAGAAAATGTGATGCTTTTACCTCCACTAATAGGCAGGAAATATAACCATAAATTTAGTGATTTGCACTTTTACCCCATAAAAATATATTGTTTACAAGTTAACAATATCTTACTGAGGGGGGCATTCTCATTGCTCTGGAGTTGAGGCACAGAAAGTCAAAATGATTTGTTTAAAGTTCAGGATATCAGCAATCTGATTAATCAGTTTTCGGCTTTCCTTGGAGGGAGGTGAGAGAGAAAGGACTAAGCTGAGGTGATCTTGGCCCAGGTCTCCTGGGGCCTCTGAACCAGCATTCCCTTGGACGTGAAGGCTTCAAGGAACTTGGAGTTTTTCCCCCCTTCCCCCCACACAGGGCCTCTTGAAGTCTGGTCCACACTTTGGAATAGTAGTATCTGCCATGAGCCACTTCATCTTCTGGGTTAATACATGTGAATTCCTGTAAGTCTGATGAAGCCATTTCAAATCATACATGGACCTAGCCCAACTTCTCTGGCTTTGTGTTTTTTTTTTCCTCACCTATATATGACACTGAGAGTGACCTATGGTGTCATTAGAGAGAAGGGGGTTGAGAATGGGGGGCCACTTTATTGGCATTGCCAGTAAAGCCCAGTACTGTTCATTTGGCTGTGCATTACAGGTACCAATCAAAGAAGAAATTGAATCTCTTCAAGTTAACACCCTTCATGGTCAACTCTGTCCTCGCTGAAGGGAAAGGTGGCTTCATAAGGGCCAAACTAGTGTGTAAGACTTTGGAAAACTTCTTTGCCTCGGCTGATGAAGAGTTGACTATTGATCATGTGCCTATTTGGTGTAAGGACAACCAAGGACAGAGAGTGATGGTTGAGCAGAGTGAAAAACTGGTGAGTATGTAAGCATCTTTAAGTGTTAGGGGCCAGGGAGGAAAGAGAAGAGTCGACATGGTACAGTGTTATATTCGCCTTTCATTTCTTCAGAACTGCTGGCAGGAAATGCCGGTGGAGGGGAAGACTGTAGGCCCGTCGTGACAGCTATGAATTGTGAAGTGTTTTCTGTGAAGAGCACTCAAAGACATTTCACTTAATCCTCACGCTGGTCCACCCATTTAGCACATGAGCCACCTGCCCAGGGTTTATAAGAGCTTGTCACTGGGGCTCCTGGATGAATCTAAAGATCGGGAATCTCTTTTCCAGTTTTTATCAAGTTTTTTTAATCATTTGCCATTCTTTTTTTTTTTTTTAAATTGGGGAATTGGGGAAGGGGACCAGCCAAGTGGTTGTTCTTCAGTCTTCGTTGTGGAGGGCGCCAGTCACCATCTGGCTGCCCGTCGGCAGCTCATGGCCTCTAAGCTCAAGGTGCTGTGTTACAATCTTAGTTGTGGGTGGGCGTAGCCACCATCCCATGAGGGAGTAGAACCAGCAGCCTTGTTGTTAAGAGTGTACGCTCTATCCACTGAGCCATCCGGGTGGCAGCTCAGCTCAAGGTGCCGAGTTCAGTCTTAGTTGCGGGCGGGCGTAGCTCACCATTGAACAGGCAGTCTTGTTGTTAAGAGCACGTGCTCTCACCAGCTGAGCCATCCTGTCACCTGTTGGCAGCTCAGCGGCCGCTCAGCTCGGGCACAGTGTCACTGGCCCATGTGGGAATGGAACCAGCAACCCTGTTGCTCAGAGCTCGCACTCTTAAGCTAACTCTTAACCATTGAGCCACGTGGCCGGCCCTTGCCATTCTTTTTATAAATTAACTGTCAGTCATAAAACTAGAGAAATAATCTAGCCTTTCCTGGTTCATCAGATGTTGTGTTCTCTGAGCAATGTTCTGTCACTGGGCTTAGGTGCCGCCCTTACTCATCTGACATTATTAAAAGGCTGTCATGGAGCCAGAGGGAGGTTAGGAAGTGACTGCCACTCACCGAGCTGGGATGGTGCCTTTTCTCTGACCTCTGTGGGAACAAAAACGTGATTTCAGGATGCTGTCTTTTCCAGGGTCTTAAACTATGAGTTACCGATTACTTGTTTTCTAGAACAGTGTCCTTGAAGCAAGCCGACTTTGGGACAACATGCGGAAGCTTCGGGAATGCAAAGAAGAGGCTTACCAAATGACTCATGATGGTATGCAAGTTCACAAATCTTGGTATCTGTTAAACATAACTGCTTCAGTCACGAGTTCTCACTCTTGCTACTCCCTTCTTTTAGGCTATTTGAAACTCTGGCAGCTGAGCAAGCCTTTGCTTGCCTCTTTTGACGCCATCTTTGTGGATGAGGCCCAGGACTGCACCCCAGGTGATAAACTATTCAGAACATCAGTAGTTTCAAATACATAGAAACAATATCATGATTATGGGAGAAGATGTGTATGTGAAATTGGTTGGTTATTCTTGTTTGTCATCAAGAAGAGGAGCAAATGATATTCAGCCATTCGTAAATCCGTTATTAGTTGACTTTGGATTTCAATAGTTGTACTCCACTCTATACCCCCAACCCCCCGCCTCCCTACCAAAGCAGATTAATTATTTTTATTCTAGATTTTTTATTGGGGAATTGGGGAAGGGGAGGAACAGTGTTGGTGGATTGGGGAAGGGGGACAGCCAAGTTGTTGTCATTCAGTCTTAGTTATGGAGGGCGCAGCTAGCTCACCTCTCAAGTCTAGTTGCCATCCAGCCACCTGTTGGCAGCTCGCGGCCGCTCAGCTCTAGGTGCTGTGTTCAGTCTTAGTTGTGGGTAGGTGTAGTCCACCATCCCGTGTGGGAGTCCAACCGGCAGCCTTGTTGTTAGGAGCACGTGCTCTCACTAGCTGAGCAATCTTCCACCTCTTGGCAGCTCAGCAGCAGCTCAGCTCAGGCGCAGCTCCCTGGCCCATGTGGGAATCGGACCGGCGACCCTGTTGCTCAGAGCTCGTGATCTTAACCAACTGAACCAATTGGCCAGCCCGAAAGCAGATTAATTTTACTCTAAATGTTTTGCTTGGGTTATTCTTAAAATATTGACTAAGTATGGGTCATCAGATATAGGGACCTAGACTTAGCTGAGTGGGAAAACGTAGTCAATTTGGAGTGAACAGTTTATGTTGTATATTTTTCAAATGACTAATGGAAAATAGATGGTGTGACTTTGTAGGTCATTTTGGGGCCCTAATTATAATATTAGCGAGCAAATATAGTCGGCATCATTTTATATTTGCCTGTGTGGTTTCCTTTTTTTAAAGATTTTATTGGGGAATTGGGGGAGGGGAACAGTGTTGGGGAATTGGGGAAGGTGACCAGCCAAGTTGTTCTTCAATCTTCGTTGTGGAGGGCGCCAGTTGCCATCTGGCTGCCTGTCGGCAGCTCATGGCCTCTAAGCTCAAGGTGCTGTGTTCAGTTTTAGATGCGGGTGGGCGTAGCCACCATCCCATGCAGGAGTCGAGCCAGCAGCCTTGTTAAGAGTGCATGCTCTAGCCATCCGGCTGGCAGCTCAGCTAGGTGCCAAGTTCAGTCTTTAGTTGCAGGTGGGCATAGCCCACCGTTGAACAGCCAATCTTGTTGTTACACAGCTGAGCCATTCTGCCACCTGTTGCCAGCTCAGCGACAGCTCAGCTCAGGTGCAGTGTCACTAGCCTATGTGGGAATCGAACCGGCGGCCCTTTTGCTCAGAGCTTGCGCTCTTAAGCCAACTCTTAACCGACTGAGCCACTCAGCTGGCCCTGTGTGGTTTCTTATACACAATAATTTGCCCAGGACTAAAAATAATGTACATTCCTAGGACTAAAAACTGTCTTGTCCATTATCAAATCGTTTCTTTGGATTGAGTGTGTCTCTCCGGCAGGAAAAGACAACTGCTGTCTAGTGTGCCGTGGCTTAGTTTCATGAAAGCATTTTCATCCCTTTCTCTGAAATACGGTTTCTTTTTGGGACGTGGGCTGGCGTTCTTCTGGAGCTCTTACTTTCCCTCTTTGGTTGCAGCTATCATGAATATAGTTCTGTCTCAGCCATGTGGGAAGATCTTTGTGGGGGATCCACACCAGCAGATCTATACCTTCCGTGGTGCGGTCAATGCTCTCTTCACAGTCCCTCATACTCACGTCTTCTATCTCACACAGGTAAGAGCTCTTCTTGCTTCCAGGCATCTTAGCAAGCACTGTGGCTCCCCACCTTTGTTTTTCAGTGATTGCTATGTGCCAGGCCCTGGGCAAGGCTTCTTGTCAGGCTGAGAGTATGTAGCCAACCCTTGCTTCTAAGCAGTGATTCTCTAGAGATCTTCAGAGTCAAAATGTTTTTCATAATAGTAATTCCCTTTTTCACTGTGTCGACTTTTGCATTGATGATGCAGAGCAGTGATGGGTAAAACTGCTAGTGCCTTCTCATGATCCAGGGCAGTCGTTGTATTCTTGACTGCAACACACTCCTAGAGTTTAAAAACAAAAAACAAAAACAGGTCACTTAACAATGTCTGTGACATGGCAGAAATGACTAATTTGATTAACTGCTGTCCCTTGAGGTCACCTCCGGGTGATGAGATGGGAAGTATGAATGAAGTACGTGTCTGCTTACCGAAGTCTGTTGGTTGTCAAATGACAAGCACTTTTGTGTTTGCATTGTGAACTACATTGGCAGCTTTTTTCTTCTAGTACCGTTTGTCATTGAAAGAACAGCTGATAGACTAACTCTGGTTATTCAGACTTGGGTTTTCGGCATTTTCCCAAAAATGAATGAAATGAACTCTGACAACAACTGACCAGCATTTGCTGCCAAAGATAAAATTCTTGCTTTCATGTGTAATCCAAATTTGGAAAACTTGTGCCTGCCACTGTGAGCATGAGAACGCTTGGTGTCCTTGGTTGTCCGAAAAGGCTGTTAAACGTTCCTCCCCTTTTCAGTACGCATCTGTGTAAGGCCGAGCTTTCTACACCTACTTCAGCCAAAACAGAACATCACCACAGATTGCATGCAGACGGAACTGAGAATCCAGCTGTCCTCTATTAAGTGGGGTATCAAAGAGATTTGCAAAAACGTAAAGCAGGGCTACTCTTCTTGCTAAATTTTTTGTTTGTTTTGGAAAATATAGTTTAAAAAAATGTTTTTCATGTTATGCAGTGGGCTTATTGTTATTTATTGTTACTTTTTAAATGTAAATTTAAATTTTAAATATAAATTTAAAGGTAATTTAAATGTAAATATAAATTAAAGTTTTTAATGTGGTAAATAGAGATAGCTACAACTCACATAAATAAAATCTCCTTCAGGGCCTCAATAATTTCTAGCAGTGAGGAGTCCTGAGAGTCCAAGAGGCGAGAATCACTGCTTTTAAGAAACTCACTCCTAGTTAGAGAATCTGAGATGTGCCCTCTGTATTGAAGTGTAATCTGAACTGTTTTGTTCTGTTACAGAAAGTCTTGTATCCTACTTGAGTTCCCCTTGTATACAATAGTGATTTAGGGTTTTGTCAACTCAGAGTAATTTTTTTAACAGGTTATTTGTTTTTAGTTTCAGATTTATAGGAAAATTTTAGTACAGAAAGTTCCCACATACTGTGCATTTAGTTTCCCCTATTATTTAGTGTGCTGCATTTGCCACAATTAATGAACTAGTACTGACACATTATTATAAACTAAAGGCCATCGTTTATTCAGATTTCCTTAGTTTTTACCTAATGTCCTTTTCTGTTCCAGGATCTTATCAGCATTACCATATTAGCTGTAGTTGTCATGTTTTCTTAGGCTCCTGTTGGCTGTAACAGTTTCTCTGACTTTACTTGTTTTTGATGATCTTGACAGTTTTGAAAAGCACTGGTCAGGTGTTTTGTAGAATGCCCCTGTATTGGAATTTGTCTGATGTTTTTCTCACAACCAAGACTGATGTTACAGGTTTGGGGGAGGAAGATCTCCGATGAAAAATTGTCACAATATCAGGGGCACATGCTATTATTTTCATCACATAATCTCAAGAGCACATGATTTATGACTGTTGATGTGATCTTGACCATCTGGCTAAAGAGTATTTGCCATGTTTCTCCACTGTGAAGTTACCCTCCTTGCTCCCTGCTCTTTCCATACTCTGTGCTTTGGAAGGAAGTGACTATACTCAGCCCTCACTCAAGGAGTAAGTGTTGCAGTATCTGTGTAAATTCCTTGGAGTTATTCTACAAAGGAGATTTGTGTCTTCTCTCCTATTTATTTATTCAATCATTTATTTACACGTATATCAGTACGGGCTTGCAGATATTTATTTTATAATTTGGGTTGTGGCTTACTCAGAATAGTTCTATAGTGACAAAGTACTATTTGTCGAAAACCTCTTGTTCTTTAGGCTGTATTACTGATGTTCACCAAAGCATATAATACTTTACTCCCTAAGTTAGAAATGCATGGAAAAGGCAACAAATATCATGAGTTTAGGGAAGAATGGTGTCACTCCAGTTGCAGTGGTCAAGGAAGGCGGGTGATAGGCCAAATTTTGAAGGGTGGGAAATTGTTTTGCCATGCACCAAGGTAGGGAGAGTGCAGGAAACACTCAGGAAATGATGATTATACTTGTTGGTTATGTAGGGCAGAGATTTTAAATTAATGTTGAGGGAGTCTCAAAGGCAAGGAGAGAAACCCTCCCTTCCTTCCCTTAATCTTTTGTATAATTTGTATTTGTTTGATTTGATTTGGAAAGAAGAGTGGATTTGCTTAAAAGAAGAGTTTGCTATTGGTTTTGGGAATAAAGGGAAACAGGAGGTCCAGGTTGTGAGGAATCTTGAAAATGCACGCATCATCTTTTTCTTTGTGTATTGCTCTTTCTTTTTGCAGCAAGGGCATGGCTTGAGGAAAATGGGTGGTAAAGATTCATCTGCCAGAGATGTAGTGAGGTATTTGGCAGTGGGAGGAGACTGGAGGGAAAGAGACCAAGTAGGTGAGGCATGAAGTTTGGGTTTCTGAGCTGAGCTGGCAGCAGTGGTAACAAAAAGAGTATAGAAAACATGGCGGATGAATTGTCAGGATTTGGATTTGGGGGCACAGGGTAAAGAAAAACAGGTAACTAAGGTTTCAGGATAGAAAATACTATTCTGAAAACTTAGAAATAAAGTCAGTGATTCTTTGATTGTCAAGCTCCTATTCAGTATGAGTGGGTTTACAGTAGGGAATTTCCAAATACCCTTTCCAGGTAGGGTGAGTCAGGAACAATTGGTTGGGGTTCGCAAGGCCAGGACTTGTCAGTGATAGAAATGTGCCAACATACTTCAGGGGAGGGTTGTTAACTCATTTTGTTTTGTTGTTTTCCAACAGAGTTTTAGATTTGGTGTGGAAATAGCTTATGTGGGCGCTACTATCTTGGATGTCTGCAAGAGAGTAAGGAAAAAGACTTTGGTTGGAGGAAACCATCAGAGTAAGGCTTTCAGTTATTCTTATTTGTTACAAAAAATTAGTTTTCCTTTTTATTTGGATTTGCCCTAGAGTTTGTTCTCTTTCCCAAAAGGTGGCATTAGAGGCGATACAAAGGGGCAGGTGGCCCTGTTGTCCCGGACCAATGCCAATGTGTTTGATGAGGCTGTACGGGTGACCGATGGAGAAGTACCTGCAAGGATACATTTGATTGGGGTAAGAGTACAATTGACTGCTTCATGCACAGAAACGTTGCAGACAAACACAGCCAATGAAAATGTTGAATTTAATTAGGATTATTATGCAGGCAAGCTTTTGGGTTTTTGATGATTTTCACCATCTGTGCCGCGAATGAAGTCTTTCTCCCTGGCCATGCTGATTATGCTAGCCAAACATTCCTGTAAAGTCAGACCCAGTATGGACTGAGAAGCTTTTCTTCTACACTTTAAAAATATAAGTGCCCTTTTCTCCTTTGTCTATGCAAATGAGGCTGCTGGCTATCTGCGAGTGTTCCGTTGTGTGAGGTTCATTAGTTTAAGAATCAGTGAGGTGACAACACAACTGGGACATGCTAGTAGGCTCCAGCGGGTAGAGTGTGAACACATGGGTTCTAGCTCTGGTTCTGTCACTAACTTTGTGTGGCTTGTGGCAAGTCACAATTTGTGTGTGCCTCATTCTCTCCATCTCTAAGACAATGCCTTTCCTTTACCTGTTTCACGGGGAAGTTAGGGTTAAGTGACATGTGTATGGCATTTTTAACTCTTCAAAGCAAAGTTATATGACTGAAACACATGCACTTATTTATGAAAAATATTTTCAAGGGCCTTCTATGTGTAGGCACTCAGTAAATATATTGAGTGACTCGTAATCACAAGATGTTCTGACTTTTCTCTTTTTTATTTATAAAGATTACAGATCCAATTTATAGGGAAAAAATTCAGGCCTAATCTCAGTATTTCATACAGTTCTCATTTTTGCTAATTACTTATGTCTTTGTCCTTATAGGTATATATTTTTCATAATTTTAATTATAGTGTACATTAAAAAGTATGCTGTTTTTACTCAACACATAAGCATATTTTTTTTCATGAGTTTACAATATTTCATCCAGTGGATATAACATAATTTAGCCATTTTCCTTATTATAAGAAAATGGTACTTTTGGAGTACTGTCCATGCTGGGCATGATAGAAAGTAAGATGCTGTCTTCCCCTCTCTATCCACTCATCACCTGTGGCATGTGATCACATCTAGTGTCCAATGATAAGGTATACTGTCTTATTTTGGTCTCTTTTTACGTTAATGTGCTATGTGTCCCTTCTCAAAATGATGATAAATCCTTGGTGTGTACAGCCTGTGTCATGTGTTTCTTCTGTACTGAGGCCTGGTGCCATGCAAATGCTGGGGCCCTCCTTCCAGTACTTAGTAGCTTCTGGGTAGAACTGGGCTGACCTGTGATACAATCAGGCCCTCTCCTCCAGGAGGTAACCTTTTAAAACATATGCTAAATTTGACCTATAGACATTTTCTAGTTCTTTCCTCAAAAGAAACAATGGTAAGTATTCATACCCCACACTCAGTGTTCAGGTATTATTTTATTTTTCATTGCAACCTATTTATATTCCTGGAAGGTAGATGATTTAAATTGCCCTTTTTAGACGAGAAAGCTAAGTGCAGCTAGTTCTTGCCATTTTTAAAATATAGGAAGAGTTTGAGTAGCGCTAAAACTTAGCATTTGATAATCCTGTGAGTTTTCAGGCTGCGTTATAGCCTGGTGCTTTGTGCTTCATGAAGTTTTCTGCTTACGGTTTTTCTGCTTTGGATGCCATTTGAGGTCCATTTCCAAGAAACCATCTCATTTCATATCTTCCTTTGGTTTACTTTGTTTTGTTAAAACAACAACAACAAAACACAACAAAAAACCAAAATCCCACCAAAAAACTTTTTCAGGGGATTAAATCATTTGGATTGGACAGAATCATTGATATTTGGATCCTTCTTCAGCCGGAGGAAGAGCGAAGGAAACGTGAGTACCCTCCTGGCTATGGGACAATGGACGGAAACACTCCAGCGATGAGGGATGGGAGAAGGATGGGCTTGTTTTGAGTCAGAGTTGTTATTTTTATTCTGGAGAAGGGTGGAACTAGTGTTGCTCTTTTTCCACTGAGACGGGATGCCTAAGTCCTCCTGTTTTCTGAGGTACTAATAGCTTTTTCCCGATCCTTCTCTCAGGAGTGTGTAAATTTCTTTCTATCATTGGCCCTTTAGGCTATCTTCCCTCACCACCCTTCTGTCTGCCAGGGCAGCTTTACATGTTGAAACTTCTGCGTGGGCCCGAAATGATCATTTCTAACATCTCTATAGCGCTTTTCTTTTCATTACTGCACTATTTCCAATCCCTGTGAAGTAGGTAAGGACCTCAAGGGTAGGGCTCTTGGTCCTCAGTTTGGAGGCGGAGAGGGTAAAGCACAGGTCGTTTCACTGACTTGCCCAAGAACACACAGCAGGTTAGTGATGTAGTCGGGACTAGAACCCGGATCTCCCCGCCTGAAGACCATGCATTTGTTGCGCCATTGATTAGGACTGTGGAGCTGCTGCCACTGTATGTCAGCATGGCCTGTATCACGTTAACCTGTGTGTGTATTCTCCTTAGGAAACCTCATTGTTAAAGACAAGTTTATTAGAAGATGGGTGCACAAAGAAGGCTTTAGTGGCTTCAAGAGGTATGTGACTGCAGCTGAGGACAAGGAGCTCGAAGCAAAGATTGCAGTCGTTGAAAAGTATAACATCAGGATTCCAGAACTGGTGGAAAGGATAGAAAGATGCCACATAGAAGACTGGGACTTTGCTGGTAAGGAAAACACTTAGTTCTTCACTTCCTGCCAGGAGGAGGGGCAAACGGTCTCCTGATGCTTCTTGCCTGCATGAATATCACGTGCGACCAAGGGTGCCTTCATTGCGTCCCTGGCATTGCCTAAGAGAAGGGAGCACAGCTGCCATCCTTCCGTGGGGCCCTTTATTTCTGTCCTACCTCCAAGCCTGTAGAATGGGATTTTCTGTTCCCAACTCTGCTGCTGTGTGACTTTGGGCAAGCCATTCACCCTGCTTCTGGCCTCTGTTCCTTTGTGTGTGAAGCAGGTTGTGGACAGGTCACTGCGAGCTCTGGAGAGGGATTTCTGAGATGCATGAACTCGCCTGCAACCGAGTTTCTACTTTCCACCTCATCTTCTTATTTTTCTCTTTCCCTGACTGTATTTTCCTCTTTCCTCCTTTTCCCACAAAGCTGAACATAGGCAGGAAAATGGAAGTGAGTTTTAAGGAAGAGTCAGTTTCCTTGTTCCTCTCTTGTTCCTTTTCCTGTCAAGCCCCCATCTGACTCTGTGCTTCTTTTATTCCAGAGTATATTCTGGGTACCGTGCACAAAGCCAAAGGCTTGGAGTTCGATACTGTGCACGTCCTGGATGACTTTGTGAAAGTGCCGTGCGCCAGGCACAACCTTGCACAGCTGCCCCACTTCCGAGTTGGTAAGGAGATGTTGCACTGAGGAGCCTCTTCAGGAGTTTACTGGGGGTGCTGCCCTTGGAAGCCTTGCTTTTTATTGGATGGTGTGGCCTCCTGGAAGGATTCTTCTAGAAGACAAAAAGCACCTAGTCTTATCATTTTTTATTCGTATACTACATTTTTTAGAAAAACTAAACTTGCAGAGCCCACCTCTCTTGGGGCTGCTGGTAGGGCAGTGATGTTTATAGCGGCCCTGTTTAGCCTGCATCAACTTCAGCTTTGGGTTTTTCACCATCAAACTCATAAAAGTTTTAAAACATACAATTTACCTGCTCTCCAAGGTGTTTTTTTCTTTAATTAACTCCCCTTTTTATTAAAGAGGCCAGAAAAATCACAAAAGGTAAAATAGTAAGCACTCTTTATCATTTGTCTGCTTTTGTATAAATTTATACTCAAGGCTATTTACAAAAATCCAAGCATCAAGCTGTTGTTTTAGTTTTAAATCTCAGAATAAAATCATTTGAAGTTTTCTTATAGACAAACAAAAGCTCTCTGTTAACCGTGGATTCAAAATTTGGGGCATAGCATACAGTGGCGGGCTGAAATAAAAATACGAAAAATTCCTTATAGCTGATGAACACACTCATAAAATGAGAGAAAGAGTTTGTATTAAACATAAATCGAAGTAGAGTGGGGAAAAGGAATGGCTGTAGAGAGATAGCAACAGCTTTATACTGGGGAAGAGAAGTTTATTTAATACACTACTTTTTTCCCCCTGCTGGTTATTCCATGTTTACATATAGATGCGGGGGGAGGAGGTCGGGTATCAGCCTTTTGAGATGTAATTCACAAACATATAGTCTACCCATTTAAAGTACACAATTTATTGGCCTTTGTTATAGTCACAGATCAACTGCTCTTTATTCAATTCTTGCCATTGTGCTAGGTGTCATAAATGAGCGAACTGAGGAATGAGGTAGGCAGTCAAGACTTGTTGAGTGTTTTTTTCCTCTGGTTGTCGTGTGACAACATAAGTCATTTCCAGACTGGCCTGAGTAAAAGAGACACCATCAAGAAAAGGGATGAACTTGGGTTTTGGAGACTTGGGCTTGACTCCTGGACCCTTGATTAGCCATGGCCTGTTTGTCCAAGTGACTTAACCTCTGTTACATATATATACACACACACACACGTATATATGTATACTGGGGGTGCCAAAAAAATGTACACACTTGACTTGTATTTACTTTTTGTTATCAGTATATATTGAGTATTACAACTTTGATTTTTTTTTTTTTTAGGTTTTATTGGGGAATTGGGGGAGGGGAACAGTGTTGGGGTATTGGGCAAGGGGAACAGCCAAGTTGTTGTCCTTCAATCTTAGTTGTGGAGGGCCCAGCAAGCTCAGCTCCAAGTCTAGTTGCACCGCTCAGCTCAAGGTGCTGTGTTCAGTTAGTTGCGGGTGGGTGTAGTCACAATCCCATGCGGGAGTTGAACTAGCAGCCTCGTTGTTAAGAGCCCATGCTGTATCCACTGAACCATCCAGGCAGCAGCTCAGCTCAAGGTGCTGAGTTCAGTCTTAGTTGCGGGTGGGCGTAGCCACCATCCCATGTGGGAGTCCAACCGGCAGCCTTGTTAAGAGCGCGCACTCTATCCATCAGGTGGCAGCTCAGCTCAAGGTGCCTAGTTCAGTCTTAAGTTGTGGGTGGGCATAGCCCACCATCTCGAACAGGCAACCTTGTTATTAGGAGCATGTCTTCTCACCAGCTGAGTCATCTTGCCACCTGTTGGCAGCTCAGCGGCAGCTCAGCTCAGGCGCTGCTCACTAGCCCATGTAGGAATTGAACCAGCGACCCTGTTGCTCAGAGCTCGCACTCTTGAGCAAGCTCTTAACCAACTGAGCCACTCGGGCTGGCCCCTAATACAGTTTTTTCCTTTCTTAAAATATGTATACATTTTTTTTTGGCACACACATACACACAGAGCCAGCAAATCTTGAGTGGCTTTCTTTGGGCGGGGAGGGGTGAGGGGTAGTAAACATTTAGATGAGAACATAAATTGTAAACAGGCTTTTGAATTGATATAGCTTTTCCCTGTACTTTCTTTAGAGTCATTTTCTGAGGATGAATGGAATTTACTGTATGTTGCAGTAACTCGTGCCAAGAAGCGTCTCATCATGACCAAATCATTGGAGAACATTTTGACTTTGGCTGGGGTAAATTAATTTAACAACATTCGAATTTTACTTGGTTTGAATTAGGGATCAACCTATCCTGGGGTATAAGAGAAGGGTCCCTTTCTTGAGTGCACAGAGGCTGATTGCTAGTATGGAAACGTCAGCTTTAAACATTCTTTTTAAAATATCAACTGTGTTCATGTATGTCTTAATTTCTTTCTTGGTCAATCAGTGCTCAATACTTTTTTGGGGAAAAAAAAGACAGGGATGTTTTCTGTGTCTGAACTTTCTCCCTCTCACTCCCTAGTCCCTTTTGAACTGGAAATTACTGCTGCCAGCAGTAGACTTCTCCAAAAGAAATATATTCTTTCCCGGGGAGAGTGAATATTCCGGCATCTGGCCTTGACCTTGTCCCTGGCTGAGATGCAGAGAAGTGTCAGCATTTGGCCTTTACCCTGCAAGCCAACCTTCTCCCCGTCTCTCTAATACTACCTCTGTCTCTCACAGGCTGGAGTATAAGCCACTTAGTCTTTTCAACCCTGTTGGGAACTACAGCAGAAATTATAGCTAACAGTTCCTACTTAGTCCATCTTGCCCTGAACCAAAGATACTTAAGCCTGAAACCTAAAACTTAAGTGTATAAGTTATTATAAATACTCTTTCTTCCTTAGGTATTTCCAAAACACAAAAGATTTTGTATAGCAGGATGATTTAGTCAAAGTGCCATAACGCATGTTCTGTCAAAGGAATGAGAATATGTGGGGCTGTAGAATCTGAGCATTGCTACCAATGGCTTTGAACCTCGAGACTTGATGGAGGTGTGTGGTAGTAATCATTTTTTAATAAATGGTATTCACAGTATCAGAGTTGTTAAGTGGTGGTAAAACTGAACCCTGATACTCATAATTGAATATTTATTCAGTTGCTAATGTATACACTAGAGCTATAATAGTGGGCAAGGAAAATTCCTAGGTGAAGTGACAGACAATAAACAAGTAAAGAGGATTTCTTTGTCCATTTTTTCTTTTTTTTAAAATTGGGGAATCGGGGGAGGGGAACAGTGTTGGGGAATTGGAGAATGGGACCAGCCAAGTGGTTGTTCTTCAATCTTAGTTGTGGAAGGCGCCAATCGTCATCTGGCTGCCCGTTGGCAGCTCGTGGCATCTAAGCTTAAGGAGCTGTGTTACTATCTTAGTTGCGAGTGGGCATAGCCACCATCCCATTCGGGAGTCGAACCAGCAGCCTTGTTGTTAAGAGCACACGCTCTATCCATTGAGCCATGTGGGGGCAGCTCAGCTCAAGGTGCCGAGTTCAGTCTTAGTTGTGGGTGGGCATAGCCCACCATCGAACAGGCAATCTTGTTATTACACCAGCTGAGCCATCCTGCCACCTGTTGGCAGCTCAGCGGCAGCTCAGCTCGGGCATAGCATCACTGGCCCATGTGGGAATCGAACTAGCGGCCCTATTGATCAGAGCTCGCGCTCTTAAGCTAACTTAACCAACTGAGCCACTCAGCTGGCCCTCTTTGTCCATTTTTGAGGACGAGAATATCAGAGCTCGAAAGGGAGAAACTTTGCAGATAAATAATCTCTGACCAGTCAGAACAGCAAAAGCTTCTTGCATAAGACTGGTTACCTTGCATTTTTACTGAACTTCCCTCTTGCAAGTCTCCGACTCACTTTTCTTTCAAGCCTCTCTGAGACGTTTCTGGAATTTGAAATCAGCTGCATGTCCCCTCAAGCAGCTTTGCTTCATCTGGGCCTCACCGTGTGTGACACCTCACCTTGTGTGGCAGCCCCCATGGCAGAGCTTGGAACCGAAGCCTTTTTCCTTGGTTGCATCCTCAGTGGTAGTTGGGTTTCAGTGGAGTTTCCAGAGATGACTTAGAGCAGAGTTTGGAAACTTTTCTATAAAGGGCCAGACAAGAAATACGTTAGGCTTTGCAGGCCATGGGATCTCTGTTGCATCTACTCAGCTCTGCTGTTGTAGCAAGAGAACAGCCACAGGAATTTATTAATAAATGAATGTGGCCATGTCCCAATAAAACTTTATGTACAACGGACACTGGTCTGAATTTGGCCCCCTGGTTGTAGTTTGTTGTCCCTTGATTTAGAGATAAGGATGGCTTTTCTTAATCTCAGGGAATGGAGTAGAATAATAATTTTTAGGTACAAATAATTTCTACTTGTCACATAAGTTTTTGCGTAAACTTTGATCATGAGTATACCTACAGTATGGTTTTCTTATGGAAATAGTGTTACATTAGTGGCTAGATCTATAACAAAACCAAATTGTCATGTTGCTAACTTTTAATGAAGATGCTGGTAATATGGAGAGCAGTAATATCATTTCTCACAACATGGGTTAAATAGAATTTTTCTTTAACTTAGGAAAATTTTGAGACATTCAAAGGTTGAGAAAATAATAAGTTACCATATACAAATCACCCCTGTATATATTTGAAGTATGCGTCTCTAAAAAAATATGGGCCATTTCTTCATATCCACAGTGCTATTATCATCATAAAATTTATAATAATTCCATGTGACTTCTATCCAATCCATAATCACACTTTTGTGATTATCTCAAAAATGCCTTTTTACAGTTGGTGTTGAAATCAGGATCCAAACATTTGGTTGTTAGGTCTCTTGAGTTTCTTAATTTAGAGCAGTCAAAACCCCTTCCCTCCTTTTTAATGCTCCTGGTTTTTTTTGCAGAAACCAAATCAGTTTTCCTGCATAATGTTCCACATTCTGGATTTGCTTCCTTGTGTGGTTGTATAGTTTACTCTTGTCTACTGTGGGTTTCCTATAACTGGGAGTTGGCTATAGAGGCTTCATTAGGTTCAGGCTTAACTTTTCTGGCAGGAATCCTTTATTTGGGGGTGGGGGGAGGGGCTTTGCTTCATATTGCCTCATATCAGAAAACAATGATAGCAGATTATCTCCCTTTTAGCAATGCTAAGATTGTTCACTTTTTAGTCGACAGAGCTAGGAAATCCATATTTTTGAAAAGGAAGAAAAATCAAGAGTTTAAATTGATAATTCCAATCCTGACTTTTTATGGAAACTTTTCATTGTTAAATATAACACAAATATTTAAAACAGATGTGCAGTTTGCCGTTAGGATGAGTGAAGGGCCATCCAGGGGAGGACACTGGATTTGCCCGCCATCCCAGATGCCTTCCAGGTGGCCCCTCATGGTCAGCACCCACTTCCCTCCTGAGAGGAACTACGGTCCCAGCCTTGACCATGAGCACTTCCTTACTTCTCCTTATAGTTTCTTATCAAGTGTGCACCACCAACAACATGAGTCCTGAAAACACTTTGCACTTACACTGTCTTCGCTCTTTCATTCCTGGAAGGTTGCACTGTGTCTGCATTGTGAGAGCCTGAAGCCATGTACATTCATAACTCATCGATTATACTTCTACAATCTAATTCAAATGAACATTAAAGGATGTTTACTTTTACACTTGAATCTCCTCTCTTACACCGAAAATATTGGTTCCTTACAGTATTTATTAATTGCTTATTTACACTATTCTACTGTGTATAAAAGTTTTAAAATAATACCAATATTGCTATTAACAAATACTGAATGGAATTTAAGATTTCCTAACGGCTCCATTTCTCTATATTCTACTAAGGATGTGTAGTCAGAATTCCATGTTCTGAAGGCACTTGGAATAAGTCCTTTTTCCTCTGTGGTTTGATCACCAATTTAATTACATTTAGATATATTGGTTTGTTTACAATCCCTATAGGAATTGCTTTGCTTCTTTTTTATTTAATTCTTTTTTGAATGTGTAAGACATTTATGTTTTCAAAGTCAAAACTTTGTAACAGTTATGTTCAGAGAAGTCTCATTCCCTCCCTGTCCTCTTCAGACTTTCTCTTCCCTCTGTCACTGATAGCTTATTTTTAGATTAGTTTTTTATTTATCCTTTAGCATTTCTTTTTTGCAAATATGTATATATTTTTTATTCTCATTTTTCACAAAAGATAACATTCTCTATATAATGCTCTGTACCTCACTTTGTTTCTGAGAAATAGGCATGGAAATCGCTCTTTAGCAGTTCGTGAAGCTTTTTCTCATTCCTTTATACAGCTGAATGGTATTCGCTGTGTCAATGTATCATGATTTATGCAGTTTCTCCTTAATGGATGTTGGGTTCTTTCCAGTCTTTTGCTTTTAATAATAATGCCACAATGCAGAATCTTATACACAAGCCATTTTCTCTTCTTGCCAGTGCAACTTGGGGATACCTTTCTAGAATATAAATTTCTGGATAAAGGATAAATGGATATGTGACTTTTATAGATAGTGCCAAATTCTTCATAGAGATTGTATGAGAGTCAAATAGGCTTAAAGCTTGTCAGTTGGTTACTGTATATATTTTATGGGGAAAATGAGTTTTCCCCATAAAGAAAAGAATACAGAATCTAGAGAAATACTTCCCCTTTACTGAGACTGGGTTGGGAAACATCTGCTGGCCCGCAGGGGTGCTCTGAGGGAGCCCTGGATATACTGCGCATTTGTGTGAATAGGTGTTTATGTGTGAGGAGGGAGTACGTCTGCTTTTTCTCTGTCACCACTTAAGAATCATTTTGGGACACCCTGTTTCGGAAGTGGCTAAGCGTGTCCTCTGCTCAGAGAGGAAGGCCCCAGGGATCCAGGAGGCTCTGGGGGAGGACAGGAGGATGATAATTTAGAGAATATGAAGGCACGTTGTGAACAGCAGAGTCATGCATGGCGAGTGACGTTTTAGAACACAGGTGAACCATTGATGCCCCTGTAACCTGGAGTAGGCCAGAGAGCCTCCTTTTTTTCCCCTCTGCCCTCTTTAGAAAATCTAACTAATCACTGGGAGCCTTTTTATTCCTTTGTTTATTTCAAGTTTTGAGGAAGTGAAGGGAATCATTACATTATTGACTTGTGAAGTGACATGGAGTTTTGCTAGTATGCTAGTAGCCTTCCAGAATCTCAGACCCTTTAATCCAAATCTTGCAGGCATATCCTTAGAACAGTGCCTAGCACATGGTTGGCGCTCAGAAAGTGTTTGTTGAATGGATGAAAGCAGTGTCCCTTCGTGTTCTGAGGCGGGGTGGGGCCTGCTTCCTGGCTCTTGCACCCGGGCGCTTTGTGACCTTGGGCAGGTTACTTATCCCTCTGTACTTCTGTCCTAATCTGTGAAACTGGCATAACGGTAGTAACTGCACTTCGGAGGGCGGGGATAGAGAAGGGCCACGATGAGCTGGTGAAATAACTGCTTTACAACCAATTGGGGCCACTCAAAGACAATTAGTTGTCGGTAAGACACTGAACCCCAGGAGGAAGGTATGAAGGGGAGAACTGGCATTTGTGGAGGAGCTGTGGTCGTGGCATGCGTGTGCTCATTCAGCAATGATTGTCGAGCACTTTTTGCATGACAGAAATGCTGCTGAGTCATGTGCTTCTGGGTCGTTTAGCTTTGATTCTGGAAGTTATAGCAGAGGCGGAGAGAAAGACTTGCTATTGCTTGGTGATTAAGAGCACAGCTCTGGATTTAGGCACACTTGGGTTTGAGTCCCACATCTGCTGCGGTCTAACTCTGTGATCTTTTGCACAAATGGCCTAATTTCTCAGCTCTCAGGCCCTCATATGTGCAATGGGGGTAATGACAGTATTACCCCCAGGAAGTTGTTGATGAGGATTATATGTACAGTGCTTTATAAGCAAAGGACCTGACTGCTAGTAGAGAACCACACATTTAAAAACAAAACAGCCTGGTGTGATTTAAGGATGGGGAGGAGTAGGTGGTGGTATCATGTCCCTTTGGATTCCTGAAGGCCAGGGGTTCCAATGAAGCTTTGCCCCCTGTGATAGTGTTTGCAACAGCTCGCAGTGGTCCATCGGCCAGTACGTTTCATAATTTGATGTAAGCCCCGTCACAGTTCTTTGGGGGCTGGTTATTCCCGACATTTATTGGTCTTCATACCTGTTAAAATATCAGATACCCAAGATGTCACTAAAGAATGTGGGTGGCTTAATGAGTTGATTTACCTGTTCATTCAGTTGACAAATACTAGATTTATAGAGCCCCTGATATGTACCAAGCACTGTAGTTAGTGTGGGAGGCACAGGGAACAAAACAAGCAATGTACTTTGTGGTCTCACAGAACTTGCAGTCTGGGAGGGAAGCCGTTCGGCAGTTGTAGATCCAGCAGCAAGATTTGGGGAGTTGTAGAGTGTTTCCAGCCCCTTTCCTGTTAGTTTTCAAGTAGCATGTGGCAGAGGCATTGCTATTATTCTCCTTTCACTCTTTCCTTCTCAGGAGTACTTCTTACAAGTAGAGCTGACGAGTAACGTTTTAAAAACAGGAGTGGTCCGCTGCTGCGTGGGGCAGTGCAGCAACGCCATCCCGGTGGACACGGTGCTCACCATGAAGAAGCTCCCCATCACTTACGTAGGTGGTCCTGGCGGCGGCCCCGGCTGCCTGTAGACTTTCATCCAGTCATTTGTGTTTTAGTGCTTGTGAGCTGTGTGCTTACTGGGCTGTGGGTGTGGGAAAAAGACATTTGTATGATCCTTCCCAGGGAGCTTTTCGTATATAAGCACAAGAGAGGCCAGAGCTGCCTGTGTCAAGATGATGGTACTGATGTAGTCAGCGTGCACAGCACAGCCTGGGAGGTGGGCTGTAACCAACGCTCCAAGGAGAGCTGCTTACGTGCAGGGCCTAGTTGAGTTTTCCTTGGCTCTTGCTTTAAATTTGGGTTTCTGCTCTACGGGAATTTGACACAGTTGAGTCTACCCTAGATGACCGTGCAGTGGGAAGGATTACCTCAGAGGTTCGCACAGGTCAGAAAATATCAGAATCGCAATGCATAGTCGCTTGGCAGTGCTGACAGCAGTGCAGCCCTTCTTGGTGGAAAGTCCTCATTCTTTGATTGTCCCCCTCCCCCTTTTCTTATCCCTCCCTGCAGAGCAACAGAAAGGAGAACAAGGGTGGCTACCTGTGCCACTCGTGTGCAGAGCAGCGCATCGGGCCTCTGGCCTTCCTGACCGCTTCCCCCGAGCAGGTGCGCTCCATGGAACGCACCATCGAGAACATCGTGCTGCCCAGACATGAAGCCCTGCTTTTCCTTGTCTTCTGAAAGCCAAGAAGAGCATTCTCCAGGGTACCGATTGCCTTCTGTGGACTCCAGTTACTTGAAGAAAGCCAGTGTGGGTTGGGGCTCTCACTCATCCGAGACTCTGAATTCACTCACAGAGCATTTTTGAGGAAGACAAAGCCAACCAGACTTGGATCTGCCATTTCTCCATTCCCTATAGGTAGCCAGTTTCCACTGCCCCTGTTCCATGCATACCAGGCTGGGGACGTGAGAGAAGTTCTTTTGATAAAAAAACAAAAACAAAAAACAAAAAACCAACAAAGCATTTTATTATTTAAACTTTTATTACAAGGTTTCAATTAAACAAGCATTGTAGATCTGACATACCACTGTGTGATTGACACCTGCCTTCAGCCTGGTTGTTTTTGAACTGTTCTCCAGCTTTCCCTGTTTTTCTTTTTTTTTTTTAAAGATTTTATTGGGGAACTGGGAGAGGGGAACAGCGCTGGGGAATCGGGGAAGGGGAACAGACAAGTTGCTATCGTTTTGTTCTTCAGTCTAGTTGTAGAGGACATCGCTTCCCTGGCCCATGTCAGTATTATCATTGCGCTCTTCCCGGGTGAGGCAGATTGGTCGCTGGTCACTGGACAGCCGCTCACGGCGGCTCTTGGCAGCTCACACCAGCTGCCAGCCGCTCATGCTGGCTGCCAGCCACTCACAGTAGCTTGCGGCAGCACCATTGCAGCCTCACTGCAGCCTACGCCGTGGCCGGCGACTCACGGCAGCCCAGCTCCAGGTTGACCTGTTGTTCACCATCTTAGCTGTACAGGGCAGTGTCACTGGCCCCCATGTGGTATCTGAACCGGGGTCCTGCTGCTCAGAGCTGGCGTCCCAAGCCAGCTCTTAACCAATACACCACTCGGCCGGCCCTCCCTGTTTTTCTACTTACTCTTTTTACCAGCTCCGTGTGTTATCTGCTCACACGATAACACCAACCAGAGTATGAGACTTAATGTCCAGGGTGATAATTGCTGCTTCAAAAATGAGATTTTCATACCGGGGAGATTCACACGTGAAGAAGACATAGTGTGTGACTTTGTCACCACAGGGTTCACAGTTTAAACGGAGGCAACATCATCCATAAAAAAACTAGCACGAAGTGACAATACCTAGACTTCTCGTGTTTCCCACAAGTAGAACTGAAGATCAAAAAAACTTGAGAGGGAATGGGTGAAGGGGGTCAAAGGTATAAATAAATACAGTGCATTTCTGAGCAATAGCAGCAAACTGCTTACTATTGTCTAGTAATTTGTAACCAGAAGGAAAAGAAATACTTGAGAGGGAGGCAGAGTTGGCCAGCAGGGGGGTGGAGGTGAGGGGATGGGAGTAGGCAGAGATGGAAAGTTAGCTGGTTAGCTGCCTAGAGATGTTGGGTGGTGGTTGTAATAAAGCTATTGTTATAGAAACCAATGAAAAATTCACATTGCTTAGATGTACATGGATCTGGTATTTTTACATTTTTGCCATACAGCACTTCAGGGAGGCAGATGGCAGGTGAGGGAGTTGGCATGGCATTTTCCAAAAAGTTCACCACATCTAGTGTCTGAGCCCAGGTGAGCGGCGTCCAAGAGCAGACCTCATAGCTTCAGTTGTTGCAGTCTCCCCTTAACTTAACTCTCCTACATCAGGCCTCTAGTGGAACTTAGAGTGTGGGCAGGTGAGTAAAGCAAGGGTGCTGTTGGATTGGGCCAGGGATACTCGCAAAGGGTGAATGCCAACTTAATGTTTGCATATCGAGGGAAGTTTTCACAGAATTGGACCTGAAGACAAGTTTAATGAGAAAGGGACGGGGCTGTTTCGTCCACTTGGCTGGTAGTCCTGGCCTAGCCTTATTTGATGCTTATGGATAACTCGGCATCAAAGAGCAAATGAAAGGAAGTTATTTGAATTTGGATTGGTCACAGGATTCAGTGTCCCTCAAAAAAAGGGTTTGGCAGAGGGGTGGCAAGCCAGGGTGCATTAACATGTGTTCTGGAAATCTAGTTTTGCCAACTGATTCATTGACGGACAAGTCATTAATTCAGTGAACCTTCACTGAGCACCTGCTGTGTGGCAGGTGCCACGTTAGTGGGTATATGGAATCAAAATGTGGTCCTGGCTTACAGAGATCACAGTCAGCATGATTGTACTTTGAGGTGAAAAGTGTTTGGCGAAAGGCCTGCGTGAGTGATCTGGGGATGGGAGGGTCGTCTTTGTCAGGGTCAAGGTCCAAGGGCTGCACAAAAGGGGGTGGTGCTGGAGGTGTGTTTAATATGAGGAGTAGTTAGCAAGCTATTAAAGAATGAAAGAATATTCTGGAAGAAGGAACAACATGAAGTATGCCAAGGACGTGTGTTAGGTAGTGGCACCACCAGGGCAAAATGTCAGTACTAGTATTTTGGTACTTACTTTGAAAAACAACAGAATCTAGAAATTAGTTTTCTAAGTGTTAAGATTTTTTTTTAAATTAGTAAAACTAAATATTTAGCATGTTTCAAAGCAATTTTTAAATATCCAGTAAAATTTTAAAAATAAGTGTTAAATGTCCATCATTTTCATATAAATGATGAGCTGAGAATAAAAGCATTATGCAAAAATGTAAACTGAGCACTACATGAAAATGAAAATCTATTAGATCTTTGAAAAAGTGTAGTCTTCAAAATAAGAGGCTTCCATGATTTCATTTAGTTGTGAGTACATTTTTGTGCAAGATTTTCTTTATTTTTGTGCAAAGTTTTCTTTTTTTTTTTTTTAGCTGAGCTATCCTGCCACCTGTTGGCAACTCAGTGGCAGCTCAGCTCAGGCCAGGAATTGAACCAGTGACCCTGTTGCTCAGAGCTCTCACTCTTGAGTGAGCTCTTAACCAACTGAGCCACTCGGCTGGCTCAAGATTTTCTATTGAAGTTTTTTTACCACAGTAATTGGGAGCAAAATAAGGAAAATCATTATAAGTTAGGTCCAAATATTTTTTTTGGTTCAATCATTTTGAATAATTCCTATTATTTGATAACTTAGTCGAGATCTTTTTAAATTTGTTTAAGAATCTGCAGTCAATTGATAGCAAATTCTAGTTTTTTGTTTTAAAGAAAGCATTTCTGATTTGTCTTCATCTTCTTTGATTTTTATCATGTATATAGCAATTCTGGTGCCGAGTTATCCTTATAAAAATAAATGCTGTTATAGCATATTCCATTTGTTTAGAAGATACTTGCAATTAAAAAAAATAATTCTCACAATAGAAGTGTTAAAATACCATAGTACAATATATTGTAGACTGTTCATTAGTTTGTCCTTTTACATAATTATTCTCAAGACATATTTCAGATTTTAGATTGTTAAATAATGAGGTGATGGTATTAGACCAATCTAAAATATTGGTATATAGATATTTTTAAGACCTGGTATACGAAATACCAGTAACTGAAATTTCAATCACTAAAGGAGTGAAACTGTCGGGAAAGCTTGGGTAAATAAGATGTGTGTGTGGCTAGAGTATGCATACAGTAGTAGCAGGCTAATGAGAGGGCCAGGTAATAAAGGACCTAGATAGAACACTAGGCCAAGGAGTTTTAGTGGTGTTCTGAAACATTATGAGTAATCATTGAAAAATTTTAAGACATCAGATTTTCTTTATAGGGAGAACATTGCAGTTGTAGACTGGAGGATGTTTTAAGAAGGTCACAAATTAAGAGGCTAAGCGTTGTAATCACAGCAAGCAATGACAGCTGATGGGCTGAACCTAGGCAACTGAAGTGGGACTGGAGAGCATAGATTAGTGGTTCTGAAAATGTGGTCCCTAGATGAGAGCAAAGTTCTCGGTCCTTACCCCAGATCTGCTGGATCAGAAACTGAGATTGAGACCCAGCAATTGGTATTTAAAAAGCCGTACAAATGATTCTGATGCACACTAAATTTTATGAGCTCTTGCTTTCGAGATTAAGAGGAAGACCAGTAAGACAATGCTTAGGTAGGGATGGTAAGTTAGTGATAGGAATCTCAATAGGGCCTCGATTTTTCTGGCTTGTTCTGCAAGGTAGATGGGGATATCCTTCATTGAGACAGAAAATGAGATGTAGTAGGTTTGTGTAAAAACAACGATGAATTTTTTTTAATTTATTAAATTTAATGGGGTGACATTGGTTTATAAAATTATATAGGTTTCAAGTGTACTTTTCTATACTGCATCATCTATGTATCACATTGTGCATTCACCACCTAGAGTCAGTTCCTCCATCACCATATATTTGACCCCCTTTACCCTCATTTACCACCCCCTGCCCCCCCTTACTCTTTGGTAATCACTAAGCTGTTGTCTGCGTCTATGAGTTTTTGTTTCTTTGTTTTGACATGTTGAGTTTGGGGTGCTTATGAGAAATTCCAAGTAGAATTGTCCAGGAGGCTATTGGGGAAACAGAATTGTACTTCGGCAGATTGCTTTGGGCTGGAAAATAGAGGTTTTTGGTATGTAAGTGGTAGTTAAGGTAATTCAGTTTAAGGGTCTTGATGAGGTGATTCCAGCATAATATCAAGACCAAAAAGAGCCTGAAGAATACCATGCTTGGGATAAAAAGGGAAGAGGATTTTGTGAAGCAACTGACAGCGGATTCCAAAGGTAGAGTTGTTATTGAATTTGAGAGAGGAAGGAGTTTAAGCAAAAGTGGTCTTCAGCATCCAGTGCTGTGGAGCGACCAAATAAAATAAAAGTGGACAGGTGTCCTTCTAACTGACACTCTGAAAATCAGTGGCACGATGAGCATGGCCAGTTTCAGTGAGGCTAGAAGCCAGACTGCAGTGGACTAAAACGTGAGTGGGCCACTTGAGGTAATCTGATGGATTACACATATGTATTTTCTTTGGTTGCTTCCTGAAACCATGCTAAAATGACAATAAAAGCGTTTTTAAAGAACATAAACCTACAAGGGCAAAGAAAACAAAGGAGATGACAGTCACAATATTTTTGGAAGTTGGAAGGCAGGTGAATGAGTGATAACTGACTTAGCTCATCAGAAAACCGAATTTTAAGCCTGATAACTCTGAAAAGATGTGGGATTTTATGGCACCAGGTTCTTCTAGAAGTAGGGTGTAAAGGTAGAGCAAGAAAACAGGAAGACGAGTAGAAAGTTTGTTTATAAGCCAGTTAAATTCTCAGATCACCCTCCCCCCCCAACTCTGTGTTAACTTGGCAATTTCTCATCCTCAAACCTAGCAGAAGACCAGAGGTTTAATCTCTGGAGAAGATAAAGTAGAGGAACTTCTCACGTAAGCGACTGGACACAGCTGTACTCGCAAGACCATTGTCTTAGCGTAGGATGTTATAACTGAGTACCACAGTCTTGGTGGCTC